TATATATAAAATTTTTAATGTAAAGACAAGTAAACAAATAATCGAAATTTTACAAATGTATATAAACAATTTTAAGTATCTATCTTCCACTTTAGATACAGTGGATCTAAAATTTATAAAGAATGTTAAAATTTTTTATATATTAAACTGTATTGAATATAAAACATTCAATTTTGATCAAATTGAAAATAAAAAATCCTATGTAAAATATCACAAGAGAAGAGTGCATCAAGAATATGACCGCATAATTAATGATTAAATGAACTTGCAATCAATCAATTTGCAACCATGTAATCAAGATATTTATAATTAAAACACAGTTTGTAAGTACAAAATAATATTTTTACAAATAAAAACTATAAAAGCATAAATATAAAAATATAATAAATATTTATAGTTGACATCATGGAAGATTATACTCCTATCGATGAAGATTTTCCTGGTCGTTTGCTACACCAAGCTGCTTTGTGGGATAATGCAGAATTATTAGAAGATCTTCTAAGAGGAGAGCATGCACAGTACATAAATAGTCAAGATTCGTGGGGCAGGACACCATTACATGCAGCAGCTATAACAGAAAATTCAAGATGTTTGGATGTACTGTTGTCTGCTGGAGCAAATCCAAATATACCATGTGGACCTCGAGGTCATTATAGAATACCATTACATATTTGTGCAGAACACGGTCATAGTTCCAACATTGAAAAACTTTTAAAATTCAATGCTAATCTTACAATTCAAGACAATAATGGTGAGATACCATTGGATATAGCTGAAAAAGCTAAGCAAGATATTTGTGTAAATTTACTTAAATTGGCAGCTGAAAAATATGAATTGCAGAAACTTGCTACTCATGATTCTTTGCGTGCAATCTGCATACAAGGAGACATTGTGGCAGCTAAGAATATTATTCAAAGTCGTACATTAGATTTGGAATGCATTATCAATATGGCACCAAATGGTGCAAATACACTACTTTTTGTAGCCTGTGAGATTGGCCATAAAGATATAGTTCGTTTGCTTTTAGATCATGGTGCAGACTGTAGAATGCATCCTGTCACCAAATACTGTCCATTGTATATAGCCTGTTACAATGGTAAAGTGGAAATAGTGGAATTGCTCCTTCGACATTTTCCTAAACAAGTACAATCTTTAACTGTGGAAAAATGGTTACCAATTCATGTGGCAACTATAAATGGTCATCATTTAGTTATTGATCTATTATTAAAATTTGAATATCCACAACATACGTATCAACGCTATAAAGATTCATCTGGAGAGTTTGAGTATGAAATGCCATTTGATATCAATACTCAGGATGTTACAGGACAAAATGTTCTGTTTATATCTAGTATGCTTGGGAATATTAAAATCGTAGAATTACTACTAAATTACAAAGTAAAAGCAAGAAAAATAAAAGAGGAAGAAACGGGGGTAGCGCAACCGCTTCCGATGTCGAAAAGAAAAATTTCAAGCGGAATACAAAGATTGATGTCTAGTTTGAATTTTAGAAGCAAAGCATTCGATAAAAAGGATGACAATATGATATGTCCACTAAATTTAGATTTGTATTGTAACAATGCTACCGAAACATCTTTACATACAGCGGTAAAAGGCAAGCATACAGAAGTAGTTACTGCTTTATTATTGGCAGGTGCTGATCCTAATTTGCCTGTAAAAGTTCCTTACGATCAAAACGATCCAGAAAGTAATTATTCTAGCGCATTAATTATAGCTTGCCAGCAACGTGACATAAGAATTGCAGATCTATTACTGAAACACGGTGCTGTAGATAACACGTGTAAAGCAATAAAAATCGCCGCACAAAATAGAGATGAACCTCTCACAGCAAAACTTTTATCCATAAAAGCTTATCCAGATTCGGAATATAAAATCAATAAAAAAGCTATGACTGAATGTACTCAAACTTCTCATTTTTCTGCATTATCCTCTTTTGGAAATGTCACGTATTCGACGCTATTTCCAAATACACCGACAATGATAAATTGGCATGATCAACAGTGTCATCTTTCACAAATACGATCGCAGTGGTTGACAGACGCTGTATTACACGTAAACAAAAAGCTAAGTGCAAAAAATAATGACTTGGTGTTATATGCCATTACCAGGATAGATATCTCTCATAACTCTATTACTTCTGTTCCATCCATAATATTTTATTTACAAAGTTTGCGATATCTTAATATGGCTCAAAATAAAATAGATACTCTTGTAGCTGAACCAAAAAGTCCTAAGGATAAACTGTGTCCAGTTTTAGAAGAAATGTATCTTCAAGACAATCGATTGGAACAGTTGCCAGAATTTATAATGAATTTACCTACATTGGAGATTATGGATGTTTCAAATAATAAATTACAATGTCTTCCGGATAATTTATGGCGAGCACCAAAATTAAAGGAATTAAATGCATCATTTAATTTGTTGAAGACTCTACCTAGTCAAGCTTCTCAAAACATTTCACGGAAATCACAACGGGAGGATTGTTTAAAC